AAAAAAAAAAACTCCCCCATAAACAGTTACAAAAAGGAGGAAATGCCGTTTAAACTAAAAATGCCTATAAATTATAAATAGCAAAAACAACACAAACCACACTGAAGCAGTTAAGGGAACTAGGCAAGGGCTTGAACACATCCACAGGTATCGGAACACACACCGGGAAGGACGACAAACTCAGAGAGGAACCATAAACTAGAGATATTTCCACGCTTTGTTTCCAGTACTGGCCCATATGCATGTCCGTCCTTTTAACCAGATCTCACAGCTGCAGCCCATGAAGGGGATCAAGGCCCTTTCCTCCCCCGTAGACCACGCCATTCATGTTTTTCCCTTATCCTCTCCTCCCTGCGTGCCCTAGAATGGAAAGAGGATGGGCCTGGGTCTTCCTCTGACTGCCCAGCTGACCTCTGCCCTTCCCCAGTTTCCTCCACAACCTCCAGAGCTACACTTCCAGTCCCTGTCGGCTGTTCCTCCTCTCCCTCAGAGTCAGACTCCAACCGGGGCAGGACAGCCAGATTTGCTTAACGACCGCTTGACTAACTTAAGAACTGCAGCAGTTCACTTAACAACTGGTGGTAAAATTGGGGGCAACGTTCGGTTAAGAACTGCCCGGCTCAGCAACAGAAATTTGGGGGTCTGTTTTGGTCGTATGTCGAGGAATTCCTGTAGTAGACCTTGCAGAAAAGAAAGGAGGAAGGTTGCCAAGGTCTTTTTTTTTTTACTTGTACACAAATTGTTTTATCTCTGTTGTGTTCTTCAGGTTGCTTTTCCTCTTCTACACCAGAAAAGAGCCTTTGTCCATCGAAATGGGTGGACTTCAACTCCCAGAGTTCCCCAACCAGCCACCCATCTTAAAGAGGCCAAAATTGAGAAACACTGATCTAAATTGGCCCAAAGATGCTTTTTTTCCCCCAAGAGGCAACTGGACTTCCTTGTTCTTCTTATTCTTCTTTGAAGATGTTTTGCTTCTCATCCCAGAAGCTTCTTCAGCTCTGACTGGATGGTGGGGAAATGGAAGGATTGATACTCCTTGCAGGCAGCTGGTCATTTGCATCCTTTTAGAGGGTCCTTGAGGCCACTTGGAGATTCACCTGTGTCCTCAGGGTCACCTGAAAGGAGTGTGTTGTGGAGCTCTGCTTTCTGCAGGGTGTTTCAGCAGTTCCAGGAAGGCCCCTCACCTATTTGCACCACTCAGGTGACCCTGAGGACACAGGTAAACCTCCAAGCGGCCTCAAGGACCCTCTCAAAGGATGCAAATGACCAGCTGTCTTCAAGGAGTATCAATCCTTCCCCACCATCCAGTCAGAGCTGAAGAAGCTTCTTGGAGGGGAAGTGAAACATCTTCAAAGAAAAACCAGAAAGTCCAGGTGCCTCTTGAAAAAGTACCTTTGGCCTGAATGACAGAGAATCTCCATAGATACCGATATAAATCCTGTTCAGCAGCATCCTTGATTTAATGGCACATCAGAAAAACCTTGAGGAACAGGAAGAGAAGATGCCTAATGAACAGTCAATAAGAGAAAGAGCTTAGTCCACAGATGAATAATGGAAGGAGGAAAAAAAAACCACTCATATTTAGAGGAAGACGCCTGGATTTTGCAGAGAAGCGGATCTTCCGTGCTGCATCTCTGTGTGGTCTCCTTTCCTTTACTTACGGTCACTCAGGACATCGTAGGCTTCGGCCAGCTGCTTGAATTTCCCAGGAGCCCAGGGGTCTTTGTTCTTTAAGGGATGATATTTCAGAGCCAGCTTCCGATATCTGCAAATCACACCGAGAGAAGCTGCACATTTCGTTCCAGGAATCCCAAATGCCCAACATTGCATTCACACAACCGGCTTGGCCAGGTTTGTTAAACTATGTTGGGGCATCGCCTTCATTCGTTCATGCTTTTTTTTTTTGCATCTTTGCAAGTTTGGGGGTGATTCATGGTGCCAAGCCTTGTGTTACTCCCCCCCCCCCCCGAGCAGTGCTTCTCCATCTTGGCAACTTGAAGCAGTGTGGACTTCAACACCCAGAAACCCCCAGCCAGCCATGCTTTAAAGACAGGGGATTCTGGGAGTTGAAGTCCACAACTCTTAAAACTTGCCAGGATGGAGAAGCATTGCTCTAGGTAGGAGCAGGGCATCTCCAAACTCTGCAACCTTTAACACTGGTGGAGTTCAACTCCCAGAATCCCCCCCAGCCAGCCATGTTTTTAAAGAAAGGGAATTCTGGGAATTGAAGTCCACCAGTCTGAAAACTTGCCAGGATAGAGAAGCATTGCTCTAGGAGCAGAGCATCTTGGCAACCTTTAACAACTGGTGGACTTCAACTCCCAGAATCCCCCAGCCAGCCATGTTTTAAAGACAGGGGATTCTGGGAATTGAAGTCCATAACCCTTAAAAGCTACTAAACTTGGGAGTCCCCTGCAAGATCTGAGGGTTCCCCGGGCTCCCCGGGTGAACGCAGCCCCCAAGCGCAGCAATCCTCTTTAAGGCGGGGTTTTGCAAAAGGGGCAAAGTCCAGAAAGCCCATCTTGCACGACCAAGGGTCCCCCCCAAAGGCCATGTTGCACGGCCAAGGAGGATGGGCACTGTAGTCCCACGCCTCCAACCCCGCTTTCTTCTCACGCCTTCTTGATGTCAGCATCCTTGGCGCTGCGGTTCAGCTCCAGCACCGCGTAGTAATCCTGGCCCATCGCGGCCTGTCTGTTGTTTTTTTGGGGTTCTTGGCTCTGGGCTTCTCCCGTTGCTATGGCTACCGCCGCCGGCCGCCCCGGGGCATGACGGGAGTTGTAGTCTCGCGATCCCCGGGCAAGTTCTTTGGCTGCCGCGCGCTCCTCGCTCCTTCCCTGGGGAGTGTGGAGGTGCAGTGGGAGCCCCGTTTTGAGGGGGGGCTTGTTTGCCTGGGGCAATGGACACCCCCTCTCCCAGTTCCTTCTCTTTTGGAAGGGGGGGGTCCCTTGGGAGGGGCGGTTCGCCACCTTTTTTTTGGGGGGGGG